TATATATATATATATATATATATATGTACATATATATATATATGTATGTATATGTATGGATAGATAGATAAAATGATGATCAAGCAGTATAAATATTATGGTGTATTATTTCATCATGGCGGGGTTCTTCTTCATTCGATGTTTCTGCTGGATCTAATTAGCTAACATGGTCTGGTAGAAAAATTATGACCTTTTAATGTCTGGACCAGAGCGTGTGTAAGTGTGCCAGATCACTTTGTGTTGCTCCAGTTCATTGGTCACCAGCACAGTTCAGTAAAAGTCAAAGATGGTATAAAGTACTTTAGACCACTTTCATTAATTAGTTCTCCCTCTCCAGCTGCGGCTGTGATCATGAGGAACATAAGCTTGTGTGTGTTTAAAAAAGAACTGCAGATTTTTAGAAGGCTGGTATATCCAGATGATATACGGGGAAGATTTGATGAAAAAAGTGATGCCATAAATTGCTGCGTTAATCATTATGGATATGTCTGAGGAGGATTTATGTTGTTACTGAAACAACCGGAAAGAGGGGACGAGGTGACACAATTATCATGCTGGTCTAAAAATACAACTCTTTTCACTCCGTGTGTCGTTAATTCTTTTTTCATTTTTAACACCCACTTTAACACCTCCCCCCCATGCCCCCTCGCTTTTCCATTTCTCACACATTCTCCTCCTTTTTCTTTATAAGGGGTGATCTGGACCATCTGGAGGATATAAACTGGACACCATGTGTCGACAATGTCAATGGTTTCATATCAGCCTTCCTCTTCTCCATTGAGACTGAGACCACAATTGGCTACGGACACCGGGTCATCACTGACCAGTGCCCAGTGGGCACCATGTTGCTGCTGCTGCAAGCTATACTGGGATCCATGGTCAATGCCTTCATGGTGAGTAAAGATGCAGCAAGCAAATTATACTTAAAGATAGGTACATTATGTTAATGGAAAACTTGCATTTTCTGCAAAAATGCAGAGTAAACATTGGATGCTGAATGACTGTAGACATTTGTTAAAACTACCGTAGTAGAATCAGAAACGTAGCTAAAAGAAGCAAAACACAAGTTAAAGTTCAAAACACAAGCTAAAACCCAAAACGAGTATAACACAGCTAAAATAGACACAATACTAGGCATTAATTAAAAGCTAAAAAGGTTAGTTGATAGCTTAAAGTAGCAAAAGAGCAACTAAAAGTTAAAAGTGGCAAAATGCTAACTATAAGCTAAACACAAAAGTTAGTTAAAATAATTAAGAGGCGAAGCTAAAAGTAGCATAAAATGATACAAATTAAATCACACAGTTACTGTTAATAACAGCTAAATGATAAAATTACAACATTGATCTCAACCACTAGCCTAAAACATAAAACCATGATTTGTCAGGCTTAGTTAGTTTATTGTAAAGTGTGTCGTGTAGAGCTGGTAAAAAAAAAAAAAGTATAAAAAACACGGCCTGTCACTGGTACTAAAATTTCAGGATGGACATACTCAGACATGCTCAGTGATGCGTTTAGAGCCCTTTGACATACTAGTTCATGGTTAATTCAATAATGAAGATGTTCAAATCCTGTGGCTGCAAAAGAAGCCCAAATCAGCAATCCTCCACTACCGTGCTTCACCGTTGGTTTGACATGTTTGTGCTGAAATATTAGGTTTAGTTTTTTATAACTGTGAGTCAAGTTTCGCAGAGATTGGACTCAGGAATTCAGACTGATGGTAGAGCTCCAATCAAAAACTTAAACTTTATTAAACCAGAAGTTAAAAAGACACAGTCAAGACCTGGACATGGCGTGAAGCCGATGATAGACTACAGGTGTGAAGAAGACTGGGAGACTATAGGACTGGGGCGGATGAGAAGAGTGGAGACATCTGGGTTGACTGACAACAAGGAGCAAGAGTAAGTGGGCGGGGCTAAAATGGGGAGTGAAAATGACAATGGAAAATTACTGACTGAAGGAAAGAGGCTGAGGATGGAACAAACCCACCACAAAGAAAACAGAAACTAACTAAATAAAATAAATATAAAAACAAACTCAAACCAAAGAACCACTCACAGAAAACCACGGATCAGGACACTTGTTTTTGGTCTCATCTATCCAAAGTAAATTGTTCCACTCATCTTAACGTTGGTTAAACTGCAAACCGGAGCATGATTATTTTATTCTTTTCAGAAAGTGGAGACTTGTTTAAGACAGTTGTTGATTATAGTTATTATTCCATTGTACTTTGTCTTTGAAAACTAGATGCTTCAACATGTAAATGTTGTCAGCATCATTTTTTTTTTCAGCTTTAAAACATTAATTTTACTTTTATTTTTTTAATGATTACAAATGCTTTTCTGTTATTTTGAGGTGAAACATCGGCATAGAAAACGACGTTAGGGAAACGACAACAGAAAGTTTCTGTGATTTGACTTGGTGCGTTTAACACAACTGGAAAAAGCTCATGTCAAACTTGTTTTATTCAGCAGGTTAGCAAGTTTATTTTGAAGTTTATAAAAAAAAGTTAAATCCAAGTAATAGTGTCTCACACTCTGAGTAACAATTCAAAATCACTTATTATATTTTAACAATGGAAATAGTCTCTAAATATCATCAAACCTGAGTTTTGTTTATTTTTAACTGAGGTCTACGGTTTGTTCATCTGAAGTGAATGCAGTTTATCCAATTTATCCAATTAGTAACAAGTTTGTCCTCCATCAGAAAAGGTTGAAGCATAAATGAAACCAAATATGTGGTGTTTTTCCACAACAAAAAGGTTTCGTGCAGATTGTTTTCCTCTGTCTTGAAGAGTAATACATCAGAGAGCAGTGGCTTAGATCATCTGGTCGATGAACTTATCGCTTGTTTGCAGACTTCACTCGATAAAGCTGCTCCGCTGTAAACAGAAGGAGACTGCCTCCTTGGTTCAGTTCTGAGTGACGCACTTTAAAACAGGCATCTAGAAAGCCGGAAAGAAAATGGCGCTCCACTAACGTTGAAGCATTTTATTTATCTTGGAGTGATAGCCTGCTAACGTATAAAAAAAGCTCTCCGTAGCGCTAGAACTTGATATCTCTCCAGTTTCGGCTTCTCGCCATTGGCTCCCTGTCAAATTCAGAATTGAATTCAAAATCTTACTTCTAAACCTACAAAGCTCTCAACAACCTAGCTCCATTTTATACTCGAGATCTTATTGTTTCAAATTTTCTTAACAGAGCGCTTCGCTCTCAGACTGCAGGTTCCTATAGTTTCCAAGAGCAGAATGGGAGGAAGATCTTCCAGTTCTCAGGCTCCTCTCTTGTGGAACCAACTTCCAGTTTCTGTCCGTGAGGCTGACACATTGTCCAGTTTTAAGACTGGGATCAAGACTTTCCATTTTGATAAATCCTATAGTTAGGGTTGGCTTGTCATACTGCTATAGGCTTAGACTACTAGAGGACAAATTTCCTTAAATGAATTGTTAAAATTAAATAGTTTTCATTTGATATTACATGTGATTCTTGACCTGCCATTGTGTATCTGTTCCTCCATCCTGTTCCTCTCAAACCCTGGTCGAAGCAGATGGTCCGCTTGTCCTGAGCCTGGTTCTGCTAAAGGTTTCTTCCTCATGAGGGAGTTTTTTCTTTCCACTGTCACCTTCATGCTTGTTCAAGATGAGAGTTCTGTGATGGAGTTAAATTCAAAGCAGTCTGCTTCTCAGATAAATAATATAAACTTATTTTTATGTATATGAATGTTTCTGTTCAGTGCCCTGAGATGACTTGTGACTTGGTGCTTTATAAATAAACTGAACTGAATTGAACTTGAATGAGTCGGTGCACCAACACTGACGCAAATCCAGTTTCTTTGTGTTTGCAACCTGGAAATAGGCCTAATTCAAAAAAAAAAAAAAAAAAAAAAAAAAAGGACATGTGGGATGTTTAACTGTGCTTTAAATACACAAATTCAGGTTGAGGTTATTCAAGTGTCACTAATACTTTAAGTACTGAAAGCCAGAAATAGCTCTGTTGAACCAGCTTGGTTTGTATTCAGCAGCTACGACGAGTGTGCGTCAGCATCGTCTCAATGTTCAGCTGACGTGTTCAGCATGAATTCTGGACAAGGGGTTGCTTTTAAATCCTCTGATGCTAATATCCTCGCACACCAGTTTCTGTTTGCTTCCCCTCCCGTTTTGAATTCAAGGTTGGCTGCATGTTCGTGAAGATCTCTCAGCCCAACAAGCGAGCCGAGACGCTGGTGTTCTCCAAGCACGCCGTCATTTCTCTGAGAGACGACAAGCTCTGCCTGATGTTCAGGGTGGGAGACCTTCGGAGCTCCCACATCGTGGGGGCCAACATGAGAGCCAAGCTCATCAAGTCTAAGCAGACTCAGGAAGGTGATGATTCCTTTTTTTTAAAGCCACTTTCAAGAATAAATTCACTGTTGAAATCCACCAATTACAGTTTTCTAAAACTATTCCAGTTCCTGATTTAGCAGAGCTCTGACCCGCCGATTCTCATTTTGAAAGATCTTGATTTCTCTTTGAGAACTATCATGACCCTCCATGCATTAAATTTCAAGATGGAGGGACTGTCTATATGCAAATGTTCAGTTTTATGTTCATACCAAAATGGTATTTTAGGAGCCTGAAAACAGTTTTTTAAATGAGTTCTAGAGTGAAAAAAAAAAATCTCTTAACAACACCCTTGCATTTTTGTGTAGACGGCCAAATTGGGTTAAAAATATGGGGACAACAACGTATACTAATTGCTTCAGTGTATAAGTCGTAAGCCTTGCAAATTTATGCAAAAAAGTGCGACCTATATGGCAAAAAATATGGTACATGCTGTGCCGCTTGTTTCCTGTTTTTGGTATTTTTTAGTAGCAGCGCCACACACAGGTTTGGCATAGTTACTACATCATTTTGAATCTTTTATGTTTCTGTGCGGACAAAGACGTCTCTGGAAAGAGTACAGAGTTCATGAGGTTAAATTTAGAATTGATAAATAAGGGAATCATTTTGGAAAAACTACAGTTCCATGTAAACATGGCCTGAGTCAAGTCGTATAACAGGCATAAAACTAAAAATATGTAGAATGCCAGAATGCACCAAGTGAATTTTAAGCCCCCACCTTTCAGTTGTGGACATAACAGGTAGAACATGTCTGTCAAAAAACACAAAACCAAAAGAACAGGGTTTTTTTTGTCTGCTAGACAGGGAGGTACTGTACTTTCCGCCATACACATCGCACCACCTATAAATCCAAAAAGTCTAATAAAGTGGGAAAATCCATAAATACGTTGCTTCGCTGTATAAGTCGCTTCGCTGTGTAAGTCGCTTCGCTGTGTAAGTCGCTTCGCTGTGTAAGTCGCTTCGCTGTTTAAGTCGCTTCGCTGTACAAGTCGCTTCGCTGTACAAGTCGCTTCGCTGTACAAGTCGCTTCGCTGTACAAGTTGCTTCGCTGTGTAAGTCGCTTCGCTGTGTAAGTTGCTTCGCTGTATAAGTCTCATTTATTATGCGTCATTGCTGACAACCCAGAAATGTGGGCCGGTGTTGTGCCAAACATCGATTGGCTGCTAAATGGTGCTCACACGGGAAGACTTTAACAAGAATTTAACAAGATTAACACTTAAAAACAATTATTTGTTTGCTGAAATTATAGTAAAGGTGTGTCTCAGTCTAACTTTTTCTTAATAAATGCACTTTGACGGTCAAATCAGCCGCATTTCAAAACCTGATTCGTTGCAGTGGGAGCGCGCAGAGGGACGAGTTGCTGTACATTTCTTCAAAATTTAACAAGATAACCACGTAAAACCAATTATTTGTTTGCTTGAAATTATAGTCAAGGTGTCTCAGTCTAATTTTTACTTAATAAAAGGACTTCAATGGTCAAATCAGCTGCATTTCATAAGTATTCGCTGCCTTGGTGCTCCGGGAGCGCGCAGACAGGGAGGAAATCAGGAAGGAGGAATGCTGTGCATTTCATCAAAATTTAACAAGATAAGCACCTAAAACAATTATTTGTTTGCTCGACTTTATAGTAAAGGTGTGTCTCAGTTGAACTTTTACTTAATAAATGCACTTCAATGGTCAAATCAGCTGCATTTCACCGGGGCGGCGCAGCGAAATGAAGCTGATTTGATGGTTGCTCCCGGAGCTGGATGACGGTGGCAGGTTATGGCAAGCCGATTGTGTCATTAATAGCCATTTTTTACCTATTACATGATACAACAGCATGCCATACTACTCTGCTACCATCTAGTGGCTGAAAATGGTAGTGTTCAGGTTTTTCAGTCGGAACGAATGAAAACGGTTATATCTCAGCCACAAATTGGTTTATAATTATGGAAAAAAATTCCATAAATAAGTCGCATCGGTATATAAATCGCAGGGCATGCAAATTATGCAAAAAACTGCGACTTATAGGGCAAAAAAACAAAACAGTAATCGTGAAAAACCTGTCAGATGTGTTACTGCTAACTCGAACAAACTGTTTAGCTGTGATTTATAGATGTAGGAGAAAAAAAACAACCTTTGATTGGCAAATTTGCCAATCGTTGATTAAGTTGAGCAAATGGCGCATCCGTGTCGGATTTTAAAAACAAAATGAAAACAAATTTGCAGTAAATTGCTCTTTTATAGCATCTTAGAAAAAAAAAGATACTAGAAAATGACTTGTAAATAAAATTCAACAACTGATTTTGTAAGAATAAGTTCTGGAGCGGCTTCGTGTTTATCTGTAGGACTGTATGATTTAAAATATATATATTATTCACCTCCTCCCCTCTCCTCCATCTTTCTTGTCTCCGCCAGGTGAGTTCATCCCTCTGGACCAAACAGACATCAGCGTTGGCTTTGAGACCGGCGACGACCGCCTCTTCCTGGTCTCTCCGCTGGTGATCTCTCATGAAATTGATGCCCATTCAGCGTTCTGGGACATGTCGCAGGCCCAGCTCGAGAAGGAGGACTTCGAGATCGTGGTCATCCTGGAAGGGATGGTGGAGGCCACCGGTGAGAAGACCATCACTTATGATTAAAATGCTGACGTGGACTGAGCAGTAAATGAATAACCTGCTATTACTATGTTCTTAAAACTCAGGGGTCTTTAAAAGATTAATTATGGGGATTATTTCTAAAACAAACTTTATTTTTCAATTAGAGGGAGCCACAAAATTGAGAAAAACTGTAAAATAGTAGGAAAAATGTAAGATTTAATGAAGGATTGAAATGAAACACAAACATATTAAAGATTAAAGAAGTTATGGCACGTTGTATTTTAATAAACTTTTAACTTCTGTTTTGTTCTTTTACGCATTGCTTTTGTTATTTTTCCAGTAGCTGTCGTTGTTTCTCAGTTGCTTTTGCCTTTTCCGCCCTCAAATATATATATTTTTCATAATTCAAACATAGATGGCAAATTTTGAGCTTAAACAGGTCAATGCATCTAAACACTAAAGTGTAACCGTTGCTGTGAATTACTGATAAAGCCTTGAACAAGTTCATTTATAAGTTCTAGCTTTTCTATTTTATGGGTAACATATTCAATTAGTTAAATAAAACAGATGCATTTAAAACTAAATTTGGCTTCCAGGCATGTCTCTGTTTAATATTGTTGTATTTTTTCACGTTTTTCCAAGAGACTTTGTTGTGTTGACCAGGGAATATACATTGACAAGTCAATTTTATAAGAAAGAATAAAATAGGAAGCTCATTCAATGAGGCTTCAAACCTTACTTTCCTCACTAAATCGTGATAAATCACAACTTAAACAATTTATTTCTGCCCATATCTGCTCAGGTTAAAACATCAGTTTTAGAAACGCTGAACTCTTAAAACCTGAACAGATTTGTAGAAGAGTGTCGCCTCCGTTTGAGCTGCGTTCCTCTTTCTGATTTAATTGTGTTTTTTTGTGAGGACGACAACCTATTTTCTTTAGAGTTTAGTGTATCAAAGCCCAATCTGTCTCCGTGAGGTGAAGCTGGCCTCTCTGCCTGCTCCAAATATTGATCCCTTTCGTCAGAGAGCTTTAAAATGCAGGTATGAGGAGGCTTGAACTCCTCCGCAGAGCCTTTCGATCTCCTTTTTGGAAAATTTAATCTGCGCTTCAGACTTACGTACCTCAGAGTGGTGTTTGCTACAACCAAGCACAAATAATCCAGTTTATTTCCTTTAGTTTGTCAGAAGGCTCTCATGAGTTTGTTTGTTTGTGCAGGGATGACGTGTCAGGCGAGGAGCTCCTACCTGGCGGAGGAGGTGCTGTGGGGTCACAGGTTCAGCCCCATGATGTCGCTGGCAGAGGGCTTCTTTGACGTGGACTACGGAGCCTTTCATCACACGTTCGAGGTGATTTTTTTTTCTCACAGCTGGTGGGATTTGACTTAACTCAGAATATGAGATCTTTTGACAGTTCAATTCAGTTTATTTATATAGCGCCAATTAACAAAGTTGTCTCAGGGCACTTTACAGAAACATTCACATACATAGAAAAGCCAATTAGTAAAGGTCTCCATCTAAGGAGGCCTTCAGACTCGTTGAGGCTTCACTTCGACGCAGTCTCCCATCCTGAGCAAGCACAAAGGAGATAGTGGAAAGGAAAAGCTCCCTTTTAACAGGAAGAAACTTCCAGCAGAACCAGACTCAGGACAACGGCCATCTGCTTTAACCGGCTGGGTTTGAGAGGAACAGGAAGGAGAAACACAGAATGGAAGGTCCAGGTGTAGGTGCGGGTGTACCCCCTATTGGAAGAAAGACAAAAACACATTTCAAGGATAGAAACAATAATTACAAATGCAAAACAGGTTGAGCAGAGTAAGTAAAGAGTAGCAGAGTGAAAAACAAGTGGTCAGTTCGTCCTCCAGCAGTCTAAGCCTATAGCAGCGTAATGATAGCTCAGGAAACCCAACCCTAACTATAGGATTTATCAAAAAGGAAAGTCTTAAGCCCTTAAAACTAGTTCATGTTTATGTTAATGCATATTTTGCTGTATTTATTCTGAAAGTTGCTCTTTAGAACCACTTTATTTGCATCATACCATCTTTTTCAGTAATGGATTTGGATATTACAGATTTAGCCCACATGGAATTTGATGATAATGTTCGCATCAAATCGTTTTGAGACAATAATTTGAGATCAAAGAGGCAGATAGTTCTTTAACCAGCAGCTGACAAATATGTTGGGAGGATTTCTGAAACTTGAACAACAACGATCCTTTCTTAGCCCATTTCTGACCCAACCTATGTCTCTAGATGGTACAGAAATGCATGCTGGGAAATGTAGGAACTCAGCTAAAACAATGAATCCAGTGACTAGATCAGGGGTGTCAAACTCACTTACAAAAGGGGACCAAAATTAAAACCTTTTTCAAATTAGGGGCCAATTTCAGAAACTACATTAACTCAAATCAGATACCCAACATCTTTTCTTGGTTGCAGGTTCCTCAGCAAGAGTTTGATTGGTCTCATTTGATGTTCTCTGTTGTGCTTTCGACATCATAATCAAAGATTACTGAAAATAATGAAGAGATAAAAGTATTTTACATTTCACATATCATCTTGGGGGCCAGATAATATGTCAATGAGGGCCACGTTTGGCCCCCGGACCTTGAGTTTGACACATATGGACTAGAGTGACTCTTAGAAAAGTTTAAAGAAATAAAATTTAAAAAAGCAAACAAAGATGTTAGATTTTAAGCTTCCATAATAAATTTCCTTGTTTAATATTTTGATGATGAGCACTTATATGTTTATATAATGTTAAAACCTGCATAAATGAATAAGCAGAATCATACACTTCTGATATTTCAGTGGTGTTCTTGGTAATCTTTACTCTGTATGTTAAAATATTTATTTGAAGCATTCAGTAGAAATTTTTAAAATATAAACTATAAAAGTTAACATCAGTTGAATGTCTCAATTACTCTTCAGGAAAATGAAGGTTAAATATGTTTCCGTTTGTGTCATGACTGTCAATTGCAGCTGTCGTCGTTGCTAAGCAACCGAGTGTACCTTATCATCCATGGGGACAAGTGGAAAACATTGTGTTGTAAATACGTGTTCCTCTAAAGCTCGACCAGTTCATCCGACAATGACTTGTTCGGATCAAAACCAAGAGTTTCAACTCACTTTTTGATGAAATACAGTGATCCGATTTCTGCATGAGCAGTTTTATTAGTTGCTCCTAGTTGTCTGTGATTCTGAGCTTATTTTGCCGTTGTACAGTTTTTAACTAAACATAAGGGGTTAGTTTTCTTTGCATCTGGGATCAGCCTTAGAGATTGAGAAGTTTTGTCATAAACTAGTAGACCTGCTGCTCCTCCACACCAGAAAGAGTCAGGTGATTGGTATCAGGTCAAGAAGCTTCAGGCAGAGAGAACTCACTTAAGATATTATATACATTCCCTCCATCCTGTGAAAGCCTTAAGATCTCCCAGAAGCAGATGGATTGGGATAATTAGGGTTTTCTCCAGGACCTGTTTCCTTCAAGGTGGATGAATGATAAATGGACAATAGGTGGATGATGGATGGGTGGGTGGATTGATGGATGATTGGATTGGTGTATGGAT